CCATCTGTCCATGATAGAAAACCGGAACGAGTCAGAGTTGGAGGCCCACTTGAGACGAACTGTCAAACACACGGGGAACCTGTCTGGAACGAAGACGGCCCACGGCATGGTGAGCCACGCAACCTCGAACCGCAGCGAAGGTTCAGATCGGAACGATCAGACCTGGTTTGCTTTTTATTTGGGGTTTTTAGGCGCGATTAGCAAAAAGGGTTTTCATTTTTAAACGAATAAATACCTTTAAAGGTTTTTTTTTTTTTAAAGGTATTGGGATCTGTGATCAGTTTAGCAAAAACATTAAAAAAATGTAAGTAGAGATGAAAGTTATCGAAATGATAACTAATGATTAATAAGTTTCCAGTTTCTCTAATATCAATTATTTTCAGAATATGAGGAGCTGTTTTACGATATTAATTTAAAAAAAGTTTTTATTATATTTAACAATTTGTCTCCTCAGTTCAGATAATGACCAAATAAATGTTTTTCCCCACATTATTAAACTTGTTTATAGACAATAAAATGAGGAAACTATTGCGTTACTAGAAATAATAAATGTAATCTGTAAAACTTCTAATTTTCCAATGAACAGAGACGCAGATCTATCATTACTAGATAGGGTATGTCATGCTTTTGATATGTATAGATTTTTTCTTTGACTAGATTCATCGGTTTTTTTCTTTTTTATCACAAAATGAACTGAATTATTTGCTCGTGTCAATTAAAAATGTTGGATTATAAAATTTGTAAAATGACATTTATGATTTAAGTGGGATTTTAAAAAGTGGGATAAAATGTCATAAAAAACATGCACTAACTATTCTTAATATAGAGTGGGTTTACATAAAGTGATCGTTGTGGTAAGAGCTGGTTTTTGAAAATAGATCACATGCATGGCTTATAGCTATTATCTCATTTGCAATGGGATGCAAGGTGACCTTTTTTAATGAAGTCTAGTAAAATAAATTACTAATTAAATAGGAAACGCAGGGCAACATAAATGGAGCGAGGTGTTATGTTCACAGCTGGGAAACAGTGCGATAATATAACAGCCAGTTAACAGAGCAATTTCGGCGCAGCAGGAAAATTAAGGTGAGCGCGGAGCGGATTTTGAGCGGAGCGTCCTGCCGCAACTTTGAGCGGCGGAGTGAATGAGCAAACATCCTCCTGAGCGGGGATTGTCCGGCACTCCGCTCACATGCTCTGTTGCCTGATTTCATTTATTCCTTTACTCATAAAATAAGTTTACATCATTTAGTAAAGAATTTGCAGAATATATATATATATATATATATTTTTTTTTTATCTGATTACTACATTAATTGCAAGAATTAAAGATTAATTGATTTCTAAACCGTTTTTTTTTTTTTTTTAACCTAAACGTTCATAAAAAGTGATGGCTTCTGCACCTTCTGGTTTGCTTGATATCATAAATGACGTCTGAATATGTAGACCTGTAGCGTTTAGATCCAGGTCAGGGATTCCAGTTCTTCTGGGTCGACCCAAACAGCCGGTAGGAACCGTCCTCTGATTGGGTGTCTGCATCGCTACCATGTCATCTGATCACATCCACCAACGCTGCGATGGAGGAATTTAATCTGATCTCCATCTAATCTGCTGTTGCAGGATGAGCGCATGTCCAAGGCGAAGGTCAGCGACATCCTGTCTGAGATCTTTAAGAAGATCGGCTCCAAGGAGAACACTAAAGAGGTCGGCTGACGTCTGGTTCTGGTTCTGCTTTGGTAAAATCCTCAGTCCGTTTAACACGCGCCTCCTTTCTTCCTCAGGGTCTGACGGAGCTCTACGAGTACAAGCAGAAGTACTCGGATGCAGATCTGGAGCCTTTCCTGAGGAACACGTCGCAGTTCTTCCAAAGCTACGTGGAGAGGGGCCTCCGGGTCATCGAGTCCGAGAGAGAAGGAAAACCTCGGATCCAAAGCGCAGCAGGTCTGTTGTCGGTCATGTTGGGCCCCAGGGCCTTGTTCGGGTCAGCCAGGAGAGGGCGCTAACTGGGCGCTAACTGGGCCGTGGTTTCTTTCAGTGATCCCTCAGCACGGCGTGGAGTCCAACCTGAGCAGCAGCAACGAGGAGCTGAAGCCCGCCGTCTACTATGAGAGGCTGAAGATCCTCCGACAGAGACAGGGCCTGGAGAACACGTCCAGGGTGGGTTCCTCCACCGGCAGAACCACACGGCTCTGCTTCCACTTCTTTCTGCTTCCTTTGTCTCCTTCCTTTCATCTCTGCTGGTTCTGTCCCTCATCAAAGGTCTCCATCCATCCGTCTCTGACCCTCTGTCCTTCCCTCCCTCCCTCTGTCCTTCCCTCCCTCCCTCTGTCCTTCCCTCCCTCCCTCTGTCCTTCCCTCCCTCCCTCTGTCCTTCTCTCCCTCCCTCCCTCCCTCCCTCCATCCATCCATCATCCCCC